TGGTGAATATATCTGGAGCACAGCAATCGGAGGTTCCTTTCAATACGATACCAATTGTATGAGATTTTATTGATGTGTTCCCTAATGATCTACCTGGCACTCCACCAGATAGACAAGTTGAGTTTATGATTGATCTCGTGCCTGGAGCAGCGCCAGTATCTAAAGCTCCATATAGAATGACGCCAAGGGAGTTACAAGAATTGAAAATACAGCTACAATAATTGTTGGATAAAGGCTTCATCCGACCAAGTGTAACTTCTTGGGGTGCACCGATTTTATTCGTAAAGAAGAAAGATGGTTCAATGAGCATGTGCATTGACTACTGTCAGCTAAACCGGTTAACTATTAAAAATAAATATTCCCTACCACGGATTGAAGGCCTCTTTGATCAATTAAATGGTGCTACAGTATTTTCCAAGATTGACTTAAGGTCAAGTTATCACCAGCTGAAAGTGAAGGCAAACGATATTTCAAAGACGACATTTAGAACTCGCTATGGTCATTACGAGTTCACTATAATGCCTTTTGGATTGACGAATGCTCCTGCAGTGTTCATGGACTTGATGAATTGGATATTTCATCAATATCTAGATCAATTCATCATTGTTTTCATTGATGATATTTTGGTATATTCAAGGAACAAGGAGCAACATGAAGAACAACTTAAAATAATATTGGAAACACCAAGGAAGGAGAAATTGTATACCAAATTCAAAAAGTGTGAATTTTGGTATATTCACGGAACAAGGAGCAACATGAAGAACAACTTAAAATAGTACTGAAAACACTGAGGAATGAGAAATTGTATGCCAAATTCAAAAAGTGTGAATTTTGGTTGGACCGTATAAGCTTTCTGGGTCATGTGGTTACAGCACAAGGAATTGAAGTAGACCCTACTAAAGTTGAGGCAGTAACCAAGTGGTCTAAACCGTCGAATGTAGGTGAAGTCCGTAGTTTTTAGGGATAGGCTGGTTATTATCAAAGATTCATCGAATGATTCTCTAAAATAGCTGGGCCGATGACCTAACTAATTAAAAAGGGGTAAGATTTCAGTGGACTGAGAAGTGCGAGAAGAGTTTTCAAGAATTAAAACAAAAATTGGTCACACTCCAGTATTGGCTATACCATAGGGCTCAGATGGATTTGTTATATATAGTGATGCATCTAAATAGGGTTTAGGGTGTGTGTTGATGCAGAATGGAAAGATGGTCGATTATGCTTCAAGACGGTTAAAACAACGTGAGCAAAACTATCCCTCCCCACACACGATTTAGAATTGGCGGCTGCGGTACATGCTCTAAAGATATGGCGTCATTATCTCTATGGGGAAAAATGCAACATCTTTACGGATCACAAAAGCCTGAAATATTTCTTCACACGGAAGGAGTTAAATATGAGGCAGAGAAGGTGGTTGGAATTGGTTAAGGACTTTGAATGCATTATTCATTACCATCCAGGTAAGGCAAATGTAGTTGCTGACGACCTTAGTAGAAAGATAGTGGGGCAATTAGCAGCTCTACCCATAACTGAAGGATAGTTGTTAGAGAATTTGAGAAATTGAGATTGAAAGTGGTCATCCCGTCGACTTAGGTTACTGCAAATATTGCAGCATTAAAGATACAACCTACACCTAGGGATCGCATCAAAGATACCCAAGACAATGATCCATTCTTGAGAAAGATTAAGACAGAAGTTGGTACAAGTAAACGATAGAGTTTTGCTATAATAGATGATAATGCTTTGACATTTGAGGGAAGTCTTTGCGTACCAAATGATGAAGGAATAAGGAAAGAGATATTAGAAGAAGCTTACTCTGTCCCGTACGCTGTGCATCCCGACGGTACAAAGATGTATCGAGACCTTCGCGATACATTTTGATGGAGAAATATAAAAAGAGAAATTGGTCTATTTGTTGAGAAATTTATGATATGCTAGCAAGTTAAGGCCAAACATCAGAGACTATCAAGGCCATTAAAGCCATAGAAATTCCAGAGTGGAAATGGGAGAAGATAGCTATGGATTTTTTGGTAGGTTTTTCAAAGACAAATCGGGGATATGATGTTATTTGGGTAATTGTGGATAGATTGACAGAATCAACTCACTTCCTTCCAGTACAAATGAACTACAACATGGATCAGTTTGCCCAGTTATATGTCAAGGAAATTATCAGGCTGCATGGAGTTCCAACTTCTCTCGTCTCAGACCGAGATCCAAGGTTCACTTCTAAAATTTGGAAGAGTCTATAAGGAGCTATGGGGACGAAGTTAAATTTCAGTGCTATCTATCATCCCCAATTAGATGGACAATCAGAAAGGACCATTCAAACTCTAGAAGATATGCTTCGAGCACGTGTTTTGGATTTTGAAGGTAGTTGGGAGTCATTTCTACCATTAGTAGAGTTTGCATACAATAATAACTTTCAGGCTACTATTGGCATGGCTGCTTATGAAGCTCTCTATGGTAGAAAATGTAGATCATCGATTCATTGGGATGAAATCGGAGAAAATAGAATTTTGAGTCCAAAAATTATTGCAAAAACGGTGTAAGCAGTTGATAAAATTAGAGATAGAATAAAGTCAGCTCAAGATAGACAAAAAAAGCTATGCAGACCAGAAAAGAAATTCGGTTGAGTTTGAAGTCGGAGAGAAAGTATTTCTAAAAGTAGAGCCAATAAAAGGGGTTCTGAGATTTGGAAAGAAAGGGAAGTTGAAACCGCGATCCATAGTTCCATTCGAAATTCTAGAAAGAATTGGAAATGTGGCGTACCATTTAACATTACCACCTAGATTATCGACAGTACATAACGTGTTCCACGTGTCAATATTTAGAAAGTATACGCATGATCCTAAGCATGTGATAAGCTATGACTCACTAGAAATGCAGAAAGACTTCACTTATAAAGAGGCTCCCATGGAAATTATTGAGAGGAAAGTGCATGCTTTGAGGAACAGGGAAGTTGTCTTAGTTAAAATTCGATGGAGAAATCATGGAGTTAAAGAAGTTACTTGGGAGAAAAAATAAGAGATAAAAGCTAAGTATCCAGAGCTGTTTGACTTGATAAGATAATTTCGAGGACGAAATTATTTTAAGGGGAGGAGGGATGTAATAGTCCAAAATTTATTTACCTCTTACGTAGGTCTTAAATTTTGTTAATACAACTTTGATTGTTAGCAAATTAATTAGTCCACGCTAACCTTGTCATTATAATAAAGTTTATTAATTAAAATGATAATACAATATATATGTATTTTTTTAAAAAGATAATTATAAAAATTTATTTCCTAATTATGCATTTTTCTTATTTCTTCTAAATATTATGTGGGTCCAATTGGGTATAGTAGGTATTGACAAAAATATATGAATATGAGTCACATCTTGTAGATCGTGTTAAATTACGTAGATCGGGTTTAAGAGAAATAAATTTTGAATGCATTTTATCAAGTTAATGTGGTCAAAACGAGATTTATGTGATTGGTTGGCATGTGTGAGATTTCACTTGGTAAAGAAATAATCAATCTTGATATAGAGCAGCAAGCTGCATATGTAGAGTTTCAATAGCTGCCACCGACATAGTTGTTTATAATTAATGACATTCAATCATGTGTAGACACATAAACATCTTTATAAGCTCTAAAAATTTCCCAAGTCATGCAAATTTATATCTGTGGTCCTCACCTG